TCTTTCTTACCCAACATAACAGTGAAAACAAACCATTTAGCAACAAAACCTTTCTACAAGTCCCTCCCCAGAGGTGATTCGTTGTGGTAGGTTGGGAGGAGGAAAAGCTCCCTGCAAAATGGCCTTGAGTACCATGTTGGAGAATGCAATATGAGTTCTGAAATTAAGCCTTATCACTCGGTGCATTAACGTGTGCTACGGAAAGCCTGTGCCCTACTTTGGGACCATTAGCTGTAGCCAGGTGGGGGAGAGGGATAGGCAGGGCACCTACCAACTGGAGGGGATAAGAGGTGTTATCAAATTCAGGATGCACACTCTCCCAAACTTTTTTGTTTGTCTGATGGCCTTGGGCTTTTTCTACTGTAGCTTTCAAATCTCTGGCAAACAGCTCACTGCAGCTCCACATTTCAATCCTTTGGGGGTTAAATAAAATGAAGGTAGCTGTGAACTCTGTTCTCCTTCAAACTAATGGACTGTTTTTTCCCTTCCTTTTTCTGCCTCTCTCCCCCTCCCTCTACCCCACCCCTCCCAAATAGCCCCCTTTGTCCACTTTTATGAATTGAAACATGCACACACACTTGCACACGCAGGGAATCCTGCCCATTAATTAAAGGACTTGTCAGCCCCAATCCTGGATTCTTACAGTGCAGGAAATGTCTCCCCTTTTAAGTGCAAAACCATAACATTACCATTTCCCCAAGTGCTCTCTGTTTTAGGCTGCTTTCCTAATTAGAGGGATGATAACAGCCCTGCTGATTGGCATTATAAAAGCACTAGTTTGGCTTCATCTGTCCCAGGTGTGCTGTGTAATTTTTTTCTTCTCACCGTTTCAGAGCAGTACCTCTCTCCTTCATTGTTCCTTAAAGTTTTCATCTGAGGAATTAATACAGATAAAAAGACATTAGAAAAGAACCTCCACTGCCAAAGCTCATCAGTGGAACCTTTTATCAAAAGTACAAACTATACAAGTTAGTTTTTTTTTTTTTACCCTTTTGTTTCTGAGGGTTAAAAAAAAAATAAAAAAGAGAGAGAGAAAGAAAAGAGGAAACGAGAGAAAAGGAGAGAAGGGGAAAAAAAAAAAAAATCCAGAGCTCTGTCAATGGACTGAATGCACCATTAAAACTGGCGTCACTACAAAGGTTAGAGCAGATCTAACTGTCAATACAGTGAGTGGAGTGGAGTCCGGTAAGGGGGGGAGCTTTGGTGAGAAAGAGATACTTTGATATTTTGGAATGTTAGAAGGGTGAATGTGAAAAATTGGAGGTTGGGGATCTAATTACCCAACCATAATTGGGGGCTAGGGAATAAGTTGCAGTCCTCTCAACTCACCGCAGATCAATTATGTTAAGAGAACATCTGTAAGTAGAACTTAATGAGGTCCATTAGAGCAACATGTACAGCCTCCTCTAACAGTACTTGTCAGCTTCTTGGATGAGCTGAAGGAAGCTGCTAACTAGGGACCTGGTGAGGTGTTTAAATACTAGAGGAGCAGAACTGGCCCACTCAGGTTTTCTTTTCAGCTGGGGAAGAAAGTGAGGAGGAAGAGACGGGGGAAGAAAAAAGGGGGAAAGCAAAGCCAGGGGCTCTTTCCATTTGTGCTGGTGCAATTAAACCAGGGGGAGAAGCAGGGCGTAGTGCAAGCTCCATTCCCCCCCCCTCCCCCCCCAACTGAGTTTTTGTTGTTATTTTTAATTGGACTTTACAGGAATCAAACTGTTGGGTTTATTTGCATTCTGTGTATTTTTTTTTTGTTGCACAATAAAGACAGCATCTCACCTGCATCTTTTGGACTATATTGAAATATCTGACTATCTAACGGGGAGAAAAGCCTCAAACTGTGAAATCTCCTTTTTTTCCTTCCTATCCCCAAAAAGAGTAAGCTGAAAACTTCAGGGGAAAAGAAAAAAGCCTTTTGAGTCTCTTTTTTTTCTTCTTTCCTGTGGAGGGTTTCTTTTTCTAAAAGGTAAGTTATTTTTTTTTTTTTCCCACTCCTCTGTAGAGATACAGGGGTGAGATTATTGCAGAAAACCTTTTAAAAAATTAAGTAAATTTTACCAAATGGCAAGTATTATGAGCTGCTAAAACACAGGCTCAAGCAAAGGGTAATCGGACCAAAAACCCCTAGGTCTTTACAGCAATCCTTTAGCAAAGATTTTTCTAGGGATCTGTAATTAAACTAGATAGTTTACACTGGAAATGAAGAAATTGCTTGGCTGGCTGGAACCAACCTTTAGCTTGGCTGAGTAAACAAAAGCACAATTTCTTTTCACTTTTTGTGTGTGTGTGTGTGTGTGTGCATGGGGAGGGGGTGGGCAGGGGAAAACAGGGGACTTGGTGAGGGTTAATGGTGTTTTTCGCGAAAGTGTCAGGAGAAGATGATTAAATTCCACCTCTTGTTCACCAGATCACTTTTGTGTGCACTTGTATATTTCATTGTCGGCAACCGCTGATGATCACATCTGTGCAGTACATTAAGTGGCAAGCCTCTTCATCTGCACGATTTTTTTCTGATGATTTTTTTCTGTGAATAATTCATATGATTATGAAGAGAAAAACTGCTATTTTCTATCTCTCTTTCTCTCTTCTGTAGCACAGATTAAAAAAAAAAATCTTGCTGTAAATTGCATGATTGGGGAGATAGCCTGCTTTCAAATAATTTAATTCATGACAAAACCTAATTACTGTCAGGTAATACCCTGTCAGCTTTAATGCATTTCATCAGTCATAATGAAAAGAAGAGCATTTTATGACCCATCTAATTATCATTACATTTTAGGGGGAAATGAATGGCATGGAGCTGAATGTTAACTATTCCATTTTATTCCTTTACACATGTGGTTTGGCATATTATTCAGTAAGTTGGGTTTTTTTTGTGGTGTTGTGGTTTTTTTCTTTTTTTTTCTTTTTTTTTTTTTTTAAAGAATCCTTGATTGGTGGGGGGAGTGTAAAGAGGGGTGGAAGATGCAATTAGATCTGGGTGTTTGTTCCTTTCTCTTTCCCGCACACGCACAAGCACACACATACACACACATAAAGTGACAAAGTGGTTAATGTCTTTGCAGGTTGGTGTTGACATCGGGTATCTTATTGCCACAGTCCAAATAGAGTACTAATTACTGCGAATGATGTCACCGTAGGCAGAGGAATAATCCCATCATTTAATTAGTTGAATGATTTAAACAAAGATTTGCATAGATGCACTAATCAGTTGCCATGAATTACAGAGCAGCAGTTGCCAGCGAGGGGTAACAGATCATACAGTTGGAGGGAAAAAAAATCTCATCTCCTTGAACATAATTAATTTAATTGTCCTCATTAGCTGTACCATTTGTTTTGATTTTATTTCTCCCTTTCCCCACACATAACTTCTCCCTCCCTCTTTTCTTCTCCTTCTCTGAGTGCATTGGTGGAGAGAGAGACACACACACACACACTCACTCTCACTGCTGTATTTCCAGAGTGGTTGTGGCAGAGGTAGTCTATAAACAGAGGGAAGTCAGGCTCTTCTGAGTGTATGGGTGCGTGCAGGAGAGAAGCAGGTTTCTGTCAAGTTTTGCTTTTCTCTATGTGCAGATCAGATCAGGAGAAGGGGGCTCTATTAGTCTGCTGCCTCTGGTTGTTCTTTTCGGGTTTTTGCTCAGGTTGGTTGTGGCTGAGTTTTGTTACTACTCAGAGGGAGAGGGGGCAAGAGATTCAAGAACTGTTCATTGCACAGTATGCTTGTTCCAGGAATATATATATAATTATAAAAAAAAAAAAGGAGAGGGGGAGAGAGAAGCTTAGTTGAGCGGCTGGTGGTGGGGAGAACCTGTCCTAAACATATGCATTTCTGAGGTTGCTTTGATTTTTATTAGAACTGCTGGAATATATGAGGGAGGGGTGTAGATGGCAGAGCACTTCAATGCTTTTAAATCTTTCTTGGGTCTTGAAAGACTTCTACAATATGAATGTCATTCAAATTTAGGGTATATTATAAGCTGACATCTTTCAAAGCTTTGTGGAAATCTAGTGTGGTGCTTCTAATAGCAGACAACAGATATTCACTTTGAAGTCTGAAAACTGTATTCACAAATTCTTAATCTGGTCTTTCTCCAACTGCAGATGGCTCTTAGAGGAAGATGCTTTGGATTTTTCTTTTTTTTTTTTAACTTTATTTACAGTAGGCTAGGCTCAACATCTTATAAAACACGAAGAAACAATCATCTGGGATCAGGGCTGAATATCAAAGCGTGCTATACCTCTTCTGTGTTTGCATGTCTGTCTGTCTCTTGGTCAAGGGTGCTCAACACCTATAACACACCTGTTTCTATTGTGTGTCCCCTCCAGCCTCCACCACTAAGTAGGGAATCGGGATCTGTCTTCAGCTCTTGGGGCGAGGATGCTAAGGGGGAAACAGCTTGTCTGTCTTCTGCGTTCAGCCTGAAAAGTGTAGGGAAGGTGGTGGCATGTGGCAAGTGGGGCCGGGGACCGTGTTGGAGAGCGGGAAACTTTCATGCCAGAGTTTCCACTCCTCTCTGAGCAGCTCAGATCCAGGACGGAGAGAGGCAGCGTTTTCACCTTCAGGGATTTTTCTCATTACTCATTAATAGAGAGATATGTATCTTGCCATTTTTCTGTCTTAAAAAAAAAAATTGCGTAGGCAACTTATTGTTTTGTTTAAGCAAAGTATTTGGGGGGGCGGGGGGGGGCGCTCCCCTATTTCCCTAGTCTGTTTCGGGAGCTCTCTCTGGGAAGGTGATCCTGAGCCGTTTCAGTAGAGGTCACTTGCGTGTGCGTGTGTCCCTGGTGTTTGTGTCTAGCATATGCATGTGGTTTTGCTGACTGCACTTGCAGGCTTGTAAATTTTCACCATGGGAAATTACCAACAAAGCCCAATCTGTCTCCTGGCTGCTTTGCACTTTCCGAGGGCGGCTGTACTTGAGCGAGCTGCAGAACGAGAGAGAAAGAGAGAGGGAGAGAGAAAGGGGGGAGTTGGGAGGGGGGAGAGGAAGGGTGGGTGGAGGGGGAGAGAGGTAAATAGCCTTAAATCGGAAGGGAGCTGCTTCTCTGTGGTCTTCCACAAGAGCTGCCTGGGCTCTGCTGGCTCAGTAATAACTGAGTGACCTTTTCTTTTGCTGTATTATGTCTGGCTGGTAAGGGATTGCATTTTGCAGCTGATAAAGCCCTGACTTCATTCAACTCGGCTCCTCACACGCTGCTTTAGGTAAGTTGTCTTCAGCCAGGACGGAGACAGCCAGCCTTGGACTGCAAGATACTAAAAGGAGGACACCTGTAGCTCGGATACGGTCAACACAATTACTTGGCGGATCCTTGAGGACCTCATTATTTTAAACTTAAAGAATAGCGATCTCCCTCCCCACCTCTCCCACCCCCTCTTTATTTTTTTTCCCCAAACAATGCTTCTTTTTGACCTTTTCCAAGGAGAAGAGCTACAAAGCAGCCACTGTGCTTATTGAACTGCCTCCCCTGTATCGCTTAATTGAGAAGGTAAGTGAGGCAACTGTGTACATAAGCTTTGGGTCATTTGTGTATGTGTCTGCATCACTCTCCCTCTCTCCCTTTCCCTCTCTCTGAGTCATAAGCCGGGGCTGCAATACACACACACACATCTCTGCACTGCAACTTTCACTCAAGCTGCAGCTCTGCTGAGACTGTTTTGTTTAAATCATGTGAGGCTTCATTATTTTTATGATGAGACATGAAATACATGCAAGCAGAGGATGCTGAGCGAAACCCATCCAACTGTATGTCTCGAGAAATAGCAAAGTTAACAATGAATTGCAGCACCACTACCACTCCCCCCCCCCCCCCCCCGTTATTACTGTTATTATTATTATTGCTTCTTCCAGAGCTTCCCGAAACGTGCTTTTAATTATCAAGGGACTCGGTTAATTTCCCACTCCCCGGCTTTAATCCACAAGCCTCCCCGTACAGCAGTTTAATTTGCAACTGGTTCGGTGCCGGGTTAACCGTTTGGGCAGAGCGGCGGAGGAGCGCGGCTGCCGTCGAGGTGGGGGGAGCCGGCGGGGGTGGGGGGTGGGCAGAGCGGGCTTGGGGGTAGCAAAAAACTGCCGGGGGGAGCCGGGCTGCGAGGGGCATCCGGGCTCGGGCAGCGTCCCTTGGACAGGTGCGGAGATGGGCAGCCGGGCTGGCGTTATGAAACAGTACTTCTGTCTGCGGGCCTTTCTTTTTTTCACACCCCCCCTCCCCCCGTCCGCCCCCCTTTCCTCCCTTCATCCCGAGCACTATATGGTATGCTAACGCCGCATGTGACAGTTTAATCAAACCCATTTGTTAAAACAAAGCTAAGAGACCACTGGGATTACAGGTTTACGGGTAGAGTTAGGGGACCATGTGGCTTTGCCGCTCGCCATCTCCGTGCGCGGCCGGCGGCTCGGGGGATACCCCCACCTTCCCGGTCTCCCCCTCCCCTCCTCCCGCCGTCCGTCCCCCCCCGCCCCTCGCCTCCCCGGGGCTGCGCCGCGCCGCACTCCCGCTCACTTGACCCGAACCGGGGAAGCACTTGCTACTTTTCCGGGATTCAGTGCTTCAATGAGAAGGAGCTCTCCAGGCGCCCGTAAATCAACTCATGCAGAAAAAGGAGAAAAGTTTTGGTAAGGCGGCGGTCTCCCGGTGTAGCGCGCACCGAGCCGGAGCGGCGCGCTGTAAGTGGGAGGGGTGGTGGTGGGGGGAGCACCGAGAGCACTTCTCTTCCCTCGTCGACCCCCAGTGCGTTGCCCTGGCGAGAGCCTGAGTGTGCTCTAAAGAGCCCCAAAATGGGGCTTTGTGGGACCGCTGCTCAAACCCGCTTGTTTTGCGGGGTGCACCGAATGCCGCCGCACGCTTTCCCCGGCGTCTCCCTTTCCTCTCTCCTTTCCCCATCGCCCCGTCCCCGCCGTGCTCGGAAAGGAATTAGCACAAAAGGGTTGAGCGTCCAACTCCGAAAGGGATTCTTTGTTGGAGAGTGTATGTTTCTTATTTATTTTTTTATTTTGCATGTGAGCTGCATCAAAATTGAACTCAGTCTTGCAAATCTCTTGTTGGCCTTTGCCAAGCACTAGCACTTTGCTGCCATGGTAACTGTAATTAAACTGATAAGAGTGGAAAAATGTCAGTATCTCTGAGCCTTGCAGCTGCATTGGAGAAAAGGGAATCAAATTGGTTCCCAGCACCGCTGCTCAAAAAACGTGTGTGTGTGTGTGTGAAGAGAGCTGGAGGGAGAGATGTGGGGGGGGACACGACAGCGGTAGGGACATAGCTAAGCACCCCCTGTCCCTGAGATCTGGGTACATTTATTTGCTGCGTTGTCCCTTAGGGGGCTACAGCCTGCAGGGATGCTCTGGGCCACTGAACAGAAAGAAACAAGCTTTTAGGCCCAATCTAGCTTTCAAAAAGAAATCTTTTCTTTGGTGTCTCTTGGCAATCGACTAGCCATGTTGGCCAAATTCTTTTAAGCTGTATCACTGCGCCCAGCTGTGGGACTGCATTCCCATTTTTAGTTTTTACCTAACCTCTTCTCTTCCACCACCCCTTCCCAGCTCACCTCTCTTATGAAAAAAAAAAAAAAATCCCAAAATAATGAAGAAAAAAAATCAGATTCCTCTGCAGAAGAACGGGCCAGAGGTGAAGTTTAGTTACATAGCATGGAAAATTAACTCAAAAGTCTGGAGAAGAGACTACATCCAGAGTACTAAAATCCTTACTTCTATATTTCTTTAAGAACCCCTGAGTGTTATGGAGTTGCGGTTACTTTGTTGTGTTAACTACAGAAGCTGAGACTGTGCGGATGAATTGCACAGAACAAGAGAGCATAATGGAGGCAATCAACCGTTAGGCTGGTTCACAATGCAATCCAGGCAATTAAAAGCTCACCAGAGTTTAAATGAAATGGTTCTACTTATTTCTGTGCACCACACTGCACAGGCTATTATTTATGTCTCTTTTTTTAATTATGATTTCCCTTAAACTGTCAAATAACACAGAATAGCAGGGTCTCGGAGGCAGTAAGAATTTTCCACAGAACAATTTACATGCCAGTCTAAAACTAGTTACGACTCCTGATGTGCTACATGCGAGTTCTGAAATGTTTCTTTGCTTTTGAAACCTTAACTACTTTTTTCTCTTTAAATCTCTGTGTGTATTATCCTGAATTACTGGACCTCTGAATGTTTTTAGGATGAAGCTACAAAGTGGGAAAGCATCGTAAAAGTATTCTTTTTATCTTCTACTAGATCTCTAACTCTCATGTTGACTCTATATTTTCAGTATGCTGTCTGTTGAAGACCAGTGCACTGATACTTAAGTTGCTCCAAACTGATTCCAGTAGAGGCAATGCATACTACTGTATGTACTATAGGTATGCTGAACATACTACTGTCCTTGTGTGTGTGCCTCTGCAAAGGAGAATGGTCTTTCAAAGTTTTCAAGTGATCCAGCATGTAATAATATCTACCTCTTCCTCCTTTAACATGCCTTTTAAAGACTGTCTGTACCACAAACCAGAAACTGAGTTCTGTGGGTTTTGTGTGTGCTGCACTCAGCATCATCAGGAGCCAATTTTGCTTGTAGATGCCACTAAATCACTAACAAAATACAGTTCATTATGTCAAATATTCATTCCCTTTGATTTTTGAGAAGGGTGATGATTGGAGCGAGATGGGTTTTTGTTTCTCTGCCTTCTTCCAGGAGCCTAATTTAGCTTTTTCCAGAAATCTTCCTCTTTATCCAGAAATCATAGCTACAAATCAGTTGATAGTGTTTCATCACACAATAATAACAATAACCAGGGATGGGAGTCAGTGGCATTGAACTTATCTGTGGAGACTGAGGGAAATTCAAAAACCTGCAAAGCAGATTATTGAGTTCTCCCTTCAAAAATCCTAAGGGTGGTGGATGGTGATGAAGAAGTCTGATTCCTGCACAGCTCTGCAGTTTATGTGTAGTATCTTGGGGACTGGGATGGAGGGAAGGGTAGAGAAAGCCCTTGAAAGCATATTGGGGTGAAATAAAAAGGGCTTGTTTGACAGTGACAGACTAGGCACTGAAATCTCTCTGTTTTAAGAACAGATATGCTCTGTGATGCAGAGCATGGGTAGTACTCTGCATGACTGAAGGGAAAACTGGCCTTGATTTTATTTATTTATTTAACAGTCTGGGTGTAGCACTTGTTGTATGGGATTTTTTTTTTTGGAAGTGCTCTATAAGCTCTGCTTTCCCAAGGGAGAGGAGGGCAGCCAGGCAGCAGTGCTGTGTGCTGCTACCTGGTATTTCAGCAGCGAGGAGTTTGGATGGTTTTGTAGGTGCTGTCAGGCTCTGAAGGGGTCCTTTCTGCATCCTAAGAAATAAATGGGTACCTAAACTGCAGCCTGTGAAAAGCCGGCTGACAGCAAGGTGCCGGTATTCTTATTGCCAAATTGAGAACTAAAAAGACACAAGCACATATCTGAAAAGTGTAACTGCATCGGCGATATAATGGGAGTGTTAAAGGGGAGAGAGATGATCGGTGAGGTGATCTGCATTAAGGTGACTCGTACAATACAGAAGAAAGTAAAAAAATGTTCTGTTTTCAAAATTAAGTTACTTAATCCAGGGCATGTAAAGAAAAGGGCATGTGCAAAGAATTTGGAGATATGTAAAACACTTTTTAGAGCGCTGTTTTGTGCTTTGTTTTTGTTTAGAACCTTTCTACTCTTGAAAAAGAGAGTAACTTTTATTTTATAAAGAAGCAGTAGTTTGGGGATTCAATTTTTTTTTTTTTTTAATCTTCATTAAAATAGAAGCAGCTTCATTGCAAGTAAAGTGTAAAAATATCAGATCTATCAGAGGAAAAAAGCATTCATTTCCTCCAAAAGCTGCTGCAGATTGAATCCCTAATCTGAAGATGCTGCCAGGGGAATGTCAGCACCACCTTCTCTCTCAGCCTCAGGAAAATAGATGCGCGGGGTTGCTAACACGACTTCTGTGGGGTGCCTGCCCCTTTTCACTTGCCTCTACAAGAAGGTTTGGGCTAACCAGCATGAATGACAGTGCTCTGTCTACTTTCCTCATCAGTAGAAAATGTCTCAAAAGTTGTGCAGGGGTATGTGCAAGACTGTGCAATCTGCAGTTTTATTTGTAATACAGTAACCTCCTGTTTGCAGCATATACCTCAGGAATTATCAGCCTTGATTATTGCAATTTGTTCAGATGCTCGCTTGTTTAGCCATATTTCTGCGGCATCTTGTTCCTTTCAGATGGCGTAGGACAGTAGATATGCCTGGATCAGAGGCTGTCAGCCTTCACTCTCTAACCTGCTTCCTTATCAGGCGACAAAATTTTTACATTAAGATTTTTTCTTTAAAGCCTTTAACTGTGTTAGCTCCTACTTTATCCTGGTTTCCCTCAAGCTAAAGATTAAAGTCCTAGAACACCCTTCTTGCTTCTGAACTTTTTTAACTGAGTTCCAAGAAGCTGATAGAAATTGTGGCCAGTGTTAGGCATTTGTCCTTTATGTGACAGAAAAGAGGGGCTGGGGATAAGTTTGTTGTTGGCACTTAGCAGATATTTATACTCTGCCATGGTACTCAACTTTACAGTTTAAGGCTTTTTGACCTAGCAAAGCTGATTAGAGTTCCGACAGGACTTTCTTTTACAGTCTGGTGTAGGTTCTTTTCCAAAAATCTCTCGTATTATTTCACTGCTTTTAGAATTTATTCATAGCAGTGTTATTTTGCTGCTTCATTTATGTACCCTGGATTTAGAGGAGATAGTTGGCAACTGAAAATACTGTAAAGGCTCAGCCTTTGTCTCACGGTGCTTGCTCAAGATGAGAAGTGTGTTTTCTTTCCCAGATCTGCCACACACTGCAGAACCCTATGCAGGTCGGTAGACATCATCCTCCCTCCTGTGAGCGACAAGCGCGTCTTGAGTCTGTACGTGGTGTAGTAGCTATGAGAGTAGCATTGACTGGGGAGTAACAGGAAGGTAGCAGAGCCATTTTTTATACTTATGGGTAGAAAAATACAGATCTTACACTTTTGTTACGAGTTTTCAATGCTGTGCACCAGTACTGCTGTGGCACCTCAAGGTGCCCACTAGGAGAACTGTCGGCATATAACTGAACAGCTAATTTAGCAGGTAAATATATCACTCCAAAATGTTCAATAGAGAGCATATTACTAAGCGGGGAGCAAGGCTTTTGTACTTACATGTCACAATAAGAATTACTATTTCTGATTCAGTGATCAGCTTCTCAGGTGAAATTTGGGAGTTCAGCTTGGTAATCCTGGAAAGTCACTTCACTGGCTCTATGGTTGCTGTGGTCCACATAAATTCCATGTATTCCAGGTACACGTATTCATAGAGATCTCTGGGACGCCTCAGCCAGCATAGCATTTAACCTCTTGTCTCTGTAGTGCTGATATCCATAAAGACACACTGTACTATTGCCTCAAAGATTGCACTAATTTTTGTGTTTTCCTTGTACAGGCTGTTTAAAGAAACAAACAAACAAAAACCCAAAACCAAACCCCAACTTGTTCTAGCTTCCTGAGCCTGCCTGTCTATAAGGGTGTATTATAGCACCAACCAATACCTGTTGATAGAAGCTGGGACTGTAAAGCATTCTTACCAGTAGGTGTTGGAGCATTCTTGATGAGCTCTTGAATTTGCTTTTCTTTGTTGCAAGACTATTTGACCTTTCGCAGTTTCTGGGTAATAACAGGGTGCTGTACCCTGAATTTTGGGGTAGGATTTGCTTGTTGGCAACAGCATTTGTTGCCCAGTCTTGACAAATCTCATTGTAATATCCAAATGCACTCTAATGAGTAGCATTTTTTTTTAAAGTTATGTTTCTGTTTGTCTTTCAGACAGTGAGCTAGCCTAACAGTGTGTCAGTTCTCTCTTCCTCTCTGGTACCTGTCTGATGTCCAGCAAAGCATCCACAGAGCTGTGATTTTGTTTATTCTAAGGAATGACTTTCAGAGATTGGTCTGAGTGTAATGGGATGGCAGTTCGTGGGATTAACCTAGAGAGACCAGTCTGTAAGCACTTTGGGGCAGTGACCTTCTCTCCCCATTTACTGTAAAACTGAGGGCAATTGATTTTTGTATGGATCTCTGGAAGCTGGCTGCAGTGCTCTGTGTACCAACTCTCAACTGTGTTCCACTTTTACCAGTTCCCTCCCTTTAACTGTGGTTCAGACATTTGAATTGGTTTTTAAATGCTCTCTGCTATTACTTCTAAAGGTATATATATGCACTTAATGGACACTACTGTACTCCTTGTCCTGAACTAGCTGTTGGCTAAAACGGAGATTGGAAAGTGGGGCAGGGGTTTTTATATTTTGTTGATACGAAGGGAGCTGGAGGCTTGGGGTGGTGTTTTTGTTTGTTTGTCTCTCGTTTTGTGTTTCCTTTGACAAATTGGCAACTCTCTGACCTTTTAGATCTTTCAGAAGGTCCTTACACTGCAGGTTGTAACTGGAGATGCTGATACTGAAGTCTCTGGAGGTCTGATGGCTTCATTCATGAGTCATAAGAAGAACTGAAATCTTAAAAAACTAGACATTCCCCCCACCAACACCAAAATGTCTGCATCAAACCTCCCATAAAACTGTGGCCCCGAGCCTCTAACAGCTTCAGTTTTCTCTTTTTTAGAATCTGGAGTGCTTTCATATTTTATAAAGATAGTGCAAATAGGTCCAAATATGTAGATTTCGTTATGTTTGCCGCCACAGATATGCTGTTTATTTAAAATTTTGGTTGCTAAATATTGTGTACTTTGGGTGAAAGTGGATGACTTTTCAACTGAACTGTTTTTATTTCTTATTTTAAATTTTTAATCCTATTTCTTTTCAGCAAAGAGACCAGCCAAATAAAGTGTTAAAGAGAAGCTGTGGAACCTAGAGCCGTGGAAGTTTCTGCTCTCAAATTTATCTTAGCATTGTTTTCAGCTTGCTGTGGACTATCTGGGTTGTTGCATCCGATCTACACCACTGCTTTTTTAACAAACTGGCGGGGGGGAGGAAGAAAAGCGTGAGACTTGTACTCGAGAGAATATCTATTTTCACTCTTCTCTTCTCTTGTTGTATTTCAGGTATACAAATGCTCTCAGTCCAGCCAGACACCAAGCCGAAAGGTTGTGCTGGCTGCAACCGTAAGATTAAAGACCGGTATCTTCTAAAGGCCCTGGACAAATATTGGCATGAAGACTGCCTGAAATGTGCCTGCTGTGACTGTCGCCTGGGGGAGGTGGGCTCTACCTTGTACACCAAAGCCAACCTTATCCTTTGTCGCAGAGACTATCTGAGGTAGGCCTTCTTATATTCACTGACAGACTTGGAAAATCTGCTCAGTCCTCACTGTGTAGTTGCTATGGCATAAGCAGTACTTGAGGGCTGCAAGGCTGAGTATATATGGAGGATGAGAAGGCAAATAGTAAGGTACAGAGATAAAACTAAAATCTGAATCAAAAAGAACGAATAACCAGGTCATGAAGGTGGTTGCCAGTTTTCTGGTGCTAATACTGGGGTTCTGTGCTCAGAGGAGGGAGAAAGTAAACCCTGCCTGTGCTTTCCACAGCACCATGCTCCCAGGAGCTGTTGGTCTGCTCCTCCTCCAAGCAGCACAGTGGTAGCCAGGTACAGCAGCCTGAAACTGCTCGCATGGTTTTTGCTAGCTTCAATGCAGGGTTTGGACTCTGTAAGTAAGGGGTGCTTTCATTTGTCTTCACTTAACCCACTTTCATCCTTTTAGTTTGCCAAGGGATTTAATTTGTGGCACTAGAAGCCTTTATGAATGTTGCCATTTAGCGGTTAGAAGCTGGACCAAGATGACCAACTGTCTTCCCACTGCTAAAATAACCATTTAGCTAGTAGGATCAAATCCATTTTGGTCCTGATTTAACTCAGTGACCTGAGTGGAACACTGAATAACCTGTTGCCACTACTGAGACAGCAAATAGTCATCTAATTTTTCTATGTTCTTTGTTGCTTGGGAATCTACATTCGCAAAGGCATTTGAGGTGTAACTTGTAGCAACGTGGTGATGAGCAGTACAAGGCAAGTTTATCTGCAGATTGTATAAATAAATAGGGCTACTTTGCAGCAACTAAGTTTAATCAGGAACTTCAATCTCCCTCAGATCTCAATAGTAAACAGAGAGAAAAAGGTTCTCTGGGGTGATTCAGAGCACCTATTTCCTATAGTAGCACCTTTCATCCGTTCCCTGTAGAGAGGGCCTAGTGAGACTAGCTGCTCCAGGCTAACATGAACTTCTGGGAATATTTCCTCTGCCCCCATAGTGATGCCTTTTCCTTTTAAAGGGACATTGAAGGCAGTAATACATTGGGGAAAAATTAAAATTCTCTTTGGATGTGTTAACTTACAAGATCAGTTTAAGCACAGGTACCAAATAAGAGATTCCCACACACCAGTCAGTTTCCCATATTGTACAGCATGGGTAGGTCAGAACAGGAATCAAAACTAAACCATTAACAGCTATTGCTACTCTGGCTCTCGATGTTACAGCCTGTTTTTTCTAGAGTGGAACAAAAATCTTCACAAATGCATTTGTTCAGCTGAGGCTGCATGGCAGATAAGGTTCTCCAGACGTGGGCATGGACTACTCGGTGGTGAAGTGCTCAGCTACCCATTAAAACTCTGAAATGAATGTAAGGTAGAGTGCTGGGAATTTAGCATAGAGGTCTGCATCTTAAAGCCATTGTGTTAAATCTGCCAAAGAAGTAGGTAACAAAACCTTACTTTTTAAAGATTGGCAGGGAACTGTTTGAATTAAAGGGAATTGTTGTACATGAACCTAACTTTTGTGAATGTAACTTTTGATCTTAAAGTGTGTGTCTGTAGAGAGGGGTGAGAACAGCTTCTGGGGGGAAGGTAACATCCTAATTTTCAAAACCCATTTTAGGGATCTTTCTACAATAAGTGCATGCAGGAGAGAAAAAACTCCGCTATGACTGTTTGATCTGAGTTCCAAATTTACTGGAGACTTTGAACTTGCCAGATCTCCTTAGTGTTAGTGCAGCAGATCCCATGTTTTAAAATCAAACGTTTAAAATCAAAACCAAAAGTTATCTAGTAGTTGAGATATGAGCAACGCATATTTCCCCAGCATGAATGTGTGCACGTGCTTACACACACAGTGTTGCTCTCTGGTCTTTGAAGGTGTAACAAGAGTAAATATTTTGCTAACAGATTGTTAAAATTCATATTAAGTGATTTAGAGAAAGGAGAGTGTACTTTCTGTCTGTCATGAACACACACATTCAAAACAGGCGTTTCAGATGTTTGTTCATACACAGTAACTATTTCTGCTCCAGTGAAACCAGCATACACAAAAAATATCAGTTTTAAATCTCTGATTTTTTTTTTTTTTTTTTTTTGTCTCTGGGTTTATCAAATCTTAATGAAGCTATCTTGTCATGAACCTTTTTTTAGCGATACTTGTGAGTGCATAGATTTAAACTTGGTATTTACACTAAATTTCAAACTGATGCACTTAAGGTAATTGCAGATAGTCATTTGCCTCATTGCGTCTTATCTACTTAGCTATGCAGTGAACCTATAAAAGTGATCTTTTTAATGCTAATGTAGAAAATAGTTAAATGTTCTCTAGCTTTGTAGTCAAATAAGCTTTCATATTTAGCAACCCACTTGAAATGAATTTAAAGAACAAATTACTTTGTACTAATGATCAGATTAGGGTTCAGTTACAGTTTCAAACTATCCTCTTATTTATTTTTCTTTTTCTTTTCAGCCATAAAAGGAATCTTTGCTACATATGAAAATGTTCTAGCTCCCTATTAATTTATGTGGTGCCCTCTAGAGGATACGTGGCTTGAACGATACTATAAAGAGTAAAATTGCTTATTAACTTGTCTTTCTGTGTTCATTATGTCTTTCAATAAGACAACCATTGTACAGATGCTATAAGCAATAACGTACCCAGTTTGGGTGCTTTAGCATTCATGGTTAAATTCACAAACTGTGATTGTGTCTTTGGCTATCTGCAAAGATACTTCCCAGTATCTCTCATTTAGAGATGCCTGCTGAAAAACTAAACTCACTCTGCACGAACTTCTGCATTTGAGCACTGAGGTATCCACTTTATGCTTTTCATAAATACTCTAAATCTTCAGAACTTCAAAACTTGCTTTGCTTTAGCTCTCTGCTTTGGTAAAATTAGTTAATTTTATTGTATTAAAACCTTTTTTTTTCTGGATTGGGGGATGTTGAGGGTATGAAAGAAATCTTTAATGAGGTAAGGAGCTTGGGAGGTGCTTTGGGTGTGAGAGGCTTTACTCTGGAAACTGATTCATATAAGTCACTCCAATGGTTTCAGAGGTGGTGTATGACACCAAAGGTATCAGGGTGGCCATAGCAGGAATGAACTCTGTTTTGTTAACAAGGATGAGAACTGACTTGAGTAAGGAAAGCACTCAGTGTTAGAAATAACACACTCGGTGGAAATGATATGCAGAGTGTAATTCCCCTGCAGGCTTCTGTCGCCTGCTTATACACTCCTGGGTTAGGAAGTGAAGACTTAATTTAAGGAACTTAGGTTTACACCAGTATTTCAAGTCCATTTACAGTAAGTGAAATATGCAAGAATTTTTTTTTTCCGCCCTTTTCCCTCCAGAGCTGTATGGTGACATCTTAATGTATCAGCCTATCCTGCTCTGTCCGCTCTTCTGACTGGCAGCATGTCCATTTACAAGCACAATATTCCCTTTGAAATCTGTCATTACTGCCATTAATGACCAGTCATTATGTTAACAGCCCTTGGGCTGTTAACCTGTCAAACTGGTTGTTAACTGGAATGTTATTACTTATTTAAACTGCAGGTATGAGTTGTGTGAAATGTGCTTTGGTTGTGTGTTCTGGGTTGCTTCTGCTCAAAACAGTAGGGAAACAGTGGAACATTTGCCTTTGGGGTGCCAACGGATTTGCTTTCTGTTCCATCTGCTCATTTGATTTCTGCATATTTCTGAGGTCCTCCTACCCCTGGGCAGCCTCCTGATTTCAGGTGCAACTATGTGCAATCCTGTCTCTTAGCCTTGCGTGCAAATGGGCAGCTGCGGATATTTCCAGATGCACAGTAATGCCTGCCGCACATTTGAGATTCATATCTGGCCCCTGAAAGTGTAAAATGAAAGACCGACAATTACATGTAACTCAGTTGTATTAAATAATGAGCTTCCTCGGATGCAGCAAAAATATGAAAGTACAGCTGTGCTAAGCTAGTAGCAATGTAGGTCAATCACCCTTTTCACTTAGGTTTTTAACTACGCAAACCCTGCTGAGCGACCAATGACTACAAAGTGCTGTTTCATTCCTATTTAATTTTGGCAGCATTTTACTGAAGAGCAGGCATTCATGCAGCTAAATTATCTTCACCGTTTCTGGTTTTAACTCCAGCTCCATGACACTAAATGTTGGAGTGCATATCTCTTAGTAAACACAAAGAATATGGTTTCTGATTTATTTTTTTTTTTCCTCAAACCCATCTCTTAACATAGAAATTGAATTAGAACTTTTATTACTTTTTGCATAATTTTCCTAACCAGGCAAACAGATCATAGGAAAAGGATTAACCAAGCTAATATATTGGGGTGGAATTTTTTGCCCTGAAACACTATCAGAGGTGGAAAGTGTGGTGACACAGAAGTCCACCCCCACCTCCACTGCCCAACCTGGTTATTGATTTTGCTTGTAAATGTACTGCAGACTTTAAGAGTACCACTGAACAGCTGTGAAAATGGGTAGATCACTATTCCTGAAGACAGGGCCAGATCTTTTTGGGTTTTTTTCTTCCCATTTGCTGGTTTGAAGACCTGAGACAGGCCACATATATTGAATGAGACCTTGTAAATAATGAGATGTGACTACAGAAAGTAAAGTGTTCACCCATAAGTATCTTAACGATGCTACCTCTGTAAAATATTTAGTTTGTGAAAGGGTGCAGAATGAAAAGAGTAGAGTTTAGAGAGCTGCTTTTTTCCTGTACAACTGCTCACACTCTAAAAGCAATTATTATTTAAAAATTACTACATAGGAGTACTTAGACTTAAAACATCTTGTAGCCTGGTACCGATGAGCAGATTCTATTTCTCGGGTGGTGAAAAGTGCACTTTAGGTATTGCAAACACAAAGATACAAGCTCTCATCAATGCATTTATTGCATTGACACCTTACAACCCACTACCTGTTATAAGGTTATTTCAAAATGACACATCTGCATACTTCTTGCCCAGCTTGGTTAAATAAGGGTGGATCTTTAAAGATTTAAGCAC